TCCGTCCATGGCGATTCCCGAGTCGAACCGGGCGAGTCCGGTTCGACTTGGCGTTTTTTTAAACACTGGCCAAGAGCATAGTTCCATAGCTCAAAATTGACTATTTCACCCTTGATGGCTTTTAAGGTTCTCTATTTTCAGGGCCCGTTTGGGTTGTTGAAAATTTACTTAAAAGGTTTTTTTTTATCTAGAAATAAGACATCCCCAATAGTTTCTAATGATGCCTAAACTGGGGGAAATTTACCCATCATACATATTTTTACTTCATATTTCGGAAATTTTCCTACTAAATAATTGAAGAAATTATTCTTTAAAAATAAATCTTCGTCACCCTAAATAATCTCTCTTCAGCAAAATTAGAATAATATTGCCTAATGGCACTATAGAATAATATTGCCTAATGGCACTATAGAATAACCAAGTTCACTAGGCCTTTCTTTTTTAAAAGAAACCTTTATAAAATATGCATATTGTTTTTCATCTCTAAAAAATATTTCATATTAAAGTCTACTTCTCACGGACAATCCTCCAAGATCTAATTTCTTAAATTATAAAATCGAATAGTTAATGGACAAAGGGTGAACCACAACAAAAGGGTGAATCATTCTAATAAGTGATTTAAAAATCATTGGATCGGGATTGGAAGGTAGGCGATCCTGATTTGAGGAGCCCGGAATCACCTTGATCTTACTAGGTTTTTGTTTATTCATTTATTCATTAACTATAGCCTGATCCGAGCTCAGAATTACCTGTGTCAACTCCAGACAAGTGGAAATCAGAAACCTGATGATTGAGGCCTCAATTCTAATTTTGAATCACTAATCCTAATTTTTGTCAATTTTTCCTAATGAAGGCTGCCATTAGTTGATATAATTGATATTAATAAGTTATGGTCAAATTATCAAGTTATACTATATGAGATCTTTTAGGTGTTTGATAATCAAGTTCTACTGGTGGGGAGTTGGCTCAAGACCCACCTAACATGAGGAGTTGCAACCCAAGGAGAATCTCAACCATGTAATAGTACTCATAGAAAAATTGTATCCAATCTGTCCAATTTATAAAAAAGTTAAATAGAGGTTTAAACATCACTATGGAACCAATGAAAAGTGGTTTTGTGAACTCTTCTTTTTCTATAAATTTTAGAATCTTTTTGCTTAGGCAAGTAGTTTAGTAAAAATGATGAAATTTTCTCACTTTGAAGTATGTTGACCAATTCTTGAGACAGGATTATTTAATGGGTGAGGTTTGTATAAGGTGTCAACCCTAAATAATAAGGTGCATCTCAAAATCTAGTTAAAAGATGCACTTTCAACGCCGAAACTCTCGTGATGGCTTAAAAGTCTAATTTTCACCCCTATATACACCAGAGGGTCAAAGTACCTGGATTAACATAAGATAGCTTACATTTTAAATCTTGCTTCACACAAATACTTTATAAAATACCCAAATAATCGTTGTTCATGATTGGGAATCATGAATATATAGGGGTGTTCTAGTAATTTGTTCTCCTTCAAAGGGCCTAACCAAATGGCACCCTTGCTTGTTCAAGATGATGAAGTAATTAAAATATTGTTTAAGTTCCCGATTATAAAAAAAAAAATAGGGTATCCAAGTGAAATGAAAATTAAAAAATAATCAAAATCTTTTGTTCCCTTAATAATTTTGGAGGGGTTTTACCACCTTGAATGATATTTCCCTTTTAACATTTTCTAAACCATTAATTAACCCAAGTGTTTTGACTACCACTCACTATTTTGCTATTTTTGTTGTTAAATTATATTGGTCTTTTATCCATAATCAGAATATGTGCTTCAAGCTGTATTGATTTATTTTTGTTTTTCAAAAGTTAGATTGATACACAGAGGATTTTGATGGAATAAATCCTACTCCTTTGAGGAAGAGGTTACACAATTACAAGCGATATGTACCTCATAATTTGTTGGATTTGGTGCTATCCAAAGTCACCCATATTACATATTCTCATTTATATAGGAGTGAGATATTATGTGGGATTGCTATTAACCAATTAGATATTATTTAGAAGTTGGTTATTGCGATAAGTTCTATTTGGATTAAGATAAACTTGATGGCTCATATTTAAAGAGATAAAGATTAGTTTCCCATAAAAAAAAAGAATAGAAGGGGCATGAGTGAGCTTTTTTTGTGAGTCTCTTTTCTCTATATAAGGGGTTATTTTTAGAGAGAGAATGTGTGCTTAATTTGGGTCATCATATGAGAATGGTGGTTCTTCTATAGGAATGGTGGTTCGTCTAGAGAGAGATGCAGAGCCTCTTGTGTATAAGATACAATTTCCTCCTAAAGAAGATAGCTTCCTATGAAGAAGAGAAACATTAATAGTGCATTTTGATTTGATAGTTTTTCCTGAAGACTCTTGCAGAGTAAGAGGTTGGTTTATTATAGAAAAGTAGTTCCCATGGAGATTTTGGGGTTGGTTTCTTGTAGTCTTAGAGAAGAGAGCTTTCTATGAAGGGAAACATTGATGGTGCCTCTTGAAGATGTTGGTTTCTTGTAGAAAAGTAGTCCCCTCGGAGATTTTGTGATTGTTTTCTTATAATCTTAGAGAAATAGCTTGACACATTGATGATGCCTCCTGAAGACTCATACAGAGTGCGCGGTTGATTTCTTGTAGAAAAGTGGTTCTCATAGAGATTTTTGGGGTTTTTTTTTTTTTTTTCTACGAAAATTGGTTATTAATGAGATTTTAGGTTGTTTCCTTTTTAGTTAGAGAGAAAGTCAGTCGCGTCTCTATCTGGTGTTGTCGATATTGCCGAAAGTAAATGAATAAATCGAGAGTGGTTTAAAAGGGTTTGCTCGATTTGGTTCTTGTTGAAGTTTGGTCTAAAATCTTTGATGTAACTTTCATTGGTATAATGGATTTTTGTTTGCCATGCCCGTGGATGTAGAACCACGTCAATCTGTATGTTCTTGTAGTATGTGTTTCATGTTTTATTTGTCGTACTTTATTTATCAAAAATCAACCAGTTGGATTTAGAGCTTCCACGCACAACAAACTTCAAGTGATTTTAGTATATTTTTTGTAGCTTGTTTTCACCTTCAATTTCACATATTCCATTATAAGGCATTCAAGTATGCACGTTTCATGATTTAAGGCTGTTAAATACGCATAGTAAATAAGGCTATTAAATACGCATATTAAATACTCATATCATTATCAAGAAAAATCATCGGTTATTAAATAAGGAAAAAGTTTATATAAGGTATCAACCTTATGCTATACAAGTAAGGCAAACCTTAGAAACCCATGGGAAAGGTTGTTTCGTCTTTAAAAAACCCTCCAATTAACCTAGATATAAAATAAAAATTGAATTTCAAACATTAAAAATAGTATATCTTGTAACACATTATCCCTATCATCTATATTATTCATAGATCTGCCACATAAATGCAATGACTAATCTCCTCTTTCTTTTTGTGTTTTTTGAAGAAGTTGAAAAAATGTTATAGTGTGTCATCTAGAAGATAAAATTGCATTTAAAATTTTAGTAAAGTCTTTTCTTTCTTTCTTGTTTTTATTTTTTTTTTAGTTTTTTTTTAGAAATGAACATGTCACACCTCTATCCCAAATGGAAAAGATTTTATCTACTTGTTCATGGCTCCCAACTTGCCATACCTCAATCCCCGCTCTGGAAAAGATTTTATCTACTTGTTCATGGTTCCCAACTTGCCATACCTCAACTCCCTGCTCTGTTATCTCTCACCATAAGGTTCTTTTTCATTTAGGTGCCATGTGTCCTTCCCTTCACTGTAGATTACTGTAATCGAATTAGAAATATCCTATTCTTAGCTTTCTATTTTAGATTTCTTTTAGTTTTACCTAATCCCAATGTGTTATAACCCTAATTCTGGGACTCACTACCATATCCTCTCCCTTGTAGGGTTCTGCCATGTATCCTACCATTAACTACTACTTAGTACATGTAGAAGAGAGATTATTTATCATCCTAATATTGGATTAGTTTTCAGTCTTTAAGCTTGCCTTGAAGAAATATTGAACAAATTTGAATTAATGCCCCATAGTGGAAATTAAAGCAATATGGGAAGCACAAATCCTTTTGGAGATTTAGGCGTGCTAGTTTCATGGGAGAGAGGGGGCTGCCAAGGATTTCTCTTTGGCATATTTTAGAAGCTGGAACTTCCATGGATTAGCATGAAAGCCATTAGTTCTAGTGGCTTCCAGAACATATGTTTGGTAGTCGACAACATTAACATGAATATTTAGGAATAAAGCTTGGGTCTGAGTTGTTAGAACCATTGACGGAAAATTGGGCGGTCTAACTGGTTCGCCCAGTTAGATCTTCCAATTGAGCCAGTGTGTTTTTTTAAAAAGAAATTAAAATTTGCATAAAATTTTAAAAATAAAAAATTTTGCTTGTAATATATCTTTTAATATTTTTCATCATTATAGCAAAAATTGAAAATAGTTTTTTTTTACCATTAATACTTATTTTTACATTTTTCCCATCTTTTTTCGTAAATTTCAAAAATACCCCTGAACACAAATCGATTCTTTAAATCAATTTTTTTTATTAATTATCAACTTCAACTTCATTTAGATACACTTTGTTTAATCATTCTTTAATTATATTTCTCATATTTATAAGATTTTTTGTATGTTTAATCATTCTTTAATTATATTTTTCATATTTTATAAGATTTTTTTGTATTTTTTTCACCACTCGGAACTAACCGCTTCCAGACCCAGACCCATGTCCGGCTAATCGTTCCAGTTCGATTTTTCCTACATTGGTTAGCACTTGATAATAGCGAGGCTGCATCTCAAGTTCGATTCCCCCTTGCCAAAACTACCCAAAAAAGAAATTGCGCCAGCCATTGCTCTGCACCCTTACGAAACCAAAAAATAATAAAGAAGGAAAATAGCACATTCGCCTCAAAACGATCTTAGGATACTCCATCAACCTTTACGATGTGTCTGGCTTAATGCCTTACATCCTGTTATACCTTCCCTCTCTTCATCTTTCAGATGGCTCCTTAGGCTGGCTAAGGCCTCGTAAATCTCATACGTTTGAGGATGTGAAAAATCCCCTGCAAAAAAGGCATTCATCTCTCTCTTCCTCTCTAACCAACTACAACCTGCTCTCTTTGCGACTCCCTTCTCTCTCATCTCCCTCCTCATCATAACCACGCCATCCTCTCTCCCCATCTCTGCATAAATATTTGACATCAGTGTATGAAACCCACCTCCCTCTTTCTTTAATTCATCTATCTTTTGCACTGCAAACTCTGCAACACCCACATTTCCATGAATCCTACAAGCACTAAGCAGAGCACCCCAAGTGCTAGCGCTTGGCTTAATTGGCATTCCCAAAATTACCTCTATTGCCTCTTCAACATGACCAGATCTCCCAAGCATATCAACCACACAAGCATAGCACTCTTGTGTTGGTTTCAAACCATAAACCTCTCCCATGGCCTTAAAATAACTTAGTCCCTCTCTCACGAGCCCTGTATGGCTACAAGCCGATAAGAGTGACACAAAAGTAATGTGATCAGGCCTCTGTTTCTCTCTTGTCATCCTTTCGAACGTTCTTATTGCCCTTTCCCCATCTCCATGCATGCCATAACATGAGATCATGGCCGTCCAGGAGACTTTGCTCCTTGATTCCATCCATTCAAACTGCCTCTCAGCAGGTCCCACAGTCCCGCACTTGGCATACATGTCTACAAGGGCATTCCCGACAATAGTCTCTGAATCAAGCCCTAGTTTGAGTGCATAACAGTGGAGTTCTCTTCCAAAGAGAAGAAAAGCACCCTTGGCACAAACAGGCAAAAGGGTGGCAATGGTGACTGAGTTGGGGCAGGCCCCACCAGAACCAATCATCGATCTGAAGACACACCAAATGTCATCAAGAGATTGGCCATTTATAGACCACCCACCAATCAAAGCATTCCATATTGCAGTTGTCTTTTCGGGGCCCACATTGTCGAAAAGTCTAATTGCATAAGTCATGTTGTTGAATTTTGAATACATATCTATCAATGAAGTGGATACAAACATATCTAAAACCATGCTGGTTCTAATGGCAAAACTATGCATTTCTTTACCATGTAAGATGGCTTTTATATGGCCACAAGCTGGGATCAGATTTGCTAGAGTGACTGGATTGGGTTGAGCACTGCTCTTAACCATCTTCCTGAAGAGCTCCAAGCCTTGAATATGGCAGCTATTGTTGACGTACCCTGCAACTATAATAGACCAGGCCACCACTGACTTTTCTATCATGGAATCGAAGACCTTTTGAGCAGGTTCCATGGAGTTGCATTTTGAGTACATGTCCAACAGAACGCCCCCAAAAATAGGATCAGAGTGTATATAGTCGCTGACCTTCACTGTATAGGCATGGATTTGTTCACCAAAGCTTAGAGCTTTGGCTTGTGCGCATGCTAAGAGTGCACCAACAATGGTGGAATCTGGAAAAAACTCATCTTCTTGGGCTGCTTCTCTTCTTATTTGCTTGAAGAGTTGCATAGCTTCATGAGCATGGCCATTTTGTGAGTAACCAACAATCATCACACTCCATGTAATAAGATTTGGATGCTTCATTAGTTTGAAAAGCTCATTTGCAGTGTTACAGTGGCCACTGTGAAAATAGCTCGAGATCATGGAGTTCCATGAGACCACACCTGGTTCAGGGATTTCATCGAAGACTTTACGGGCTGAGTCTAAATCTCTGCAATTTCCATACATCGAGATAAGAGCATTTGTGAGGAAAGCATCATGATCAAAACCAAGCTTGAGAATTTCTCCATGGATGGCCTGGCCTTGCGCTCTGAGGGAGAGTTTGGAGCAAGACTTGATAAGAAGGGAGAAGATAGAATTATTGGGCTTCAAATTGGTTATGTTTTGGTAATGGCGATAGACTATCAGCACTTCCTGCCATCTACCATGTTGAAAGAAAAACTGCAATTGCGATAGGAGAGAACCCATTACCCATTAGGCTGCAAAACTCTCTATCTGCACGATTAGATTCCATCATTGTAAAAATAGAAGCTCAATGAATTTCCCATGACAGTTCCCATGAAGCTTGGCTTCATGAAAACTGCCACTCTGAAGGTCCGTCTTCAGAACAGATGCTAACCCAGTTAGTTGTATCTGCTACCTTCTTGCAAGGAGTGACCATTTTGTGTACATCAAACCAAATTCCCAGTTTCTCTTCTCTCTATTTTTTAGAAGTTTCTCCTTAAAGAACGTAGTGATATTTTGGGCTTAATATCTCAGCTTTATATTATTACCTTCGTTTCTTTTGGAGTGTAATTGCTGCAAATTTGTGCAAGGAATGTGTGACCCCATTCCTCCATAGTATTTCAGTCCCATGGAGTTCACCAAGACTTTTGGAAGCCTGACATGTGAAAGCCAAAATATCCAGTGACCATAGGCTTAACTAGTGTTTTCAGACTTGCCTTGGCTGTGCTCCTTGTACTATACAGGCTGCAAAAGCCCTTAAAAAATTTCACAAAAATAAAAATACTAAAAATAAAATAGAAATAATAAAGGTCAAATAAAACCAAAACAACCTTCAAAGGCATGTTTGGTATGTATGAAAATATTTTTGTGAAAGTATTTCACACAAAAGAACTCCCCAATGTGATTAGGTGTAGGAGTTTTTTCACACAAATTGGTAGCCAGTTGGTATTAAAAAAATGTGTTGGGTCCAATTGGTACGAAGAAACTCCCACACCTAATCACAAGGGAGAATTCTTTCATGTAAAAATACTTTCACAAAAATATTATCAACTGTACCAAATGTGCCATAAATGTCCAAGTAAGCTTAAGAAAGTATATAAATCATGAATTAAAAGAAATGATTTATAGCTGGGGCATTTTAAAAAAATCCAAAAAAATAAATTTTTAAAATAGGGCATGCAGTACAGAAAAAAATTACCAATCTTTGCCAAAAACATCCAAATCATAAATAAAAATTTTAATTATCAATCCCATATGCTTATATTTTTCTTTTAGGATTTGTTTTTCTATTTTTAATATACTATGACTTGTACAGGGTAACTCGGGTGACTCGGCTAGCCAAGGAGGCGAAAACACTAATTTAAAAATTA